GGTACAGTTTCAAACATGAATGTTCATGTTGTTCATGAAAGTCACTCGAACGAATCCTGTTTTTAAAGACGTCCTTATTTTTGATTCTATAAACGGACACGTCTCCGTATTTTTCCCTGAGTCACGTTTTAATGCTTATTTTTGATATCGTCATGGCATGATGTCATTTCGTTTGTCATTCTATTGGACGTACTTTGAGCTGGTTGAACATTCTGTCGTGTGAGACCAACAAACACTTTCTGGATATTCTAGCAGCAGATTATTTGTTCTACTGGGAACTTGTAGATGTTTTACTCTCAGACATTAACCGCTGTCAGCATTCACCGTGTGAACGTGGTGGATTTAACTCAAATAAAACACCTGTGGATGGCTGAATGAAGGTTTCATTACACCTTCATGTTTATTTATTTGTTTGTTCTTTGTTGTTTTGTCTTTTCTTCTGATTACGAGCAGTAAATCATTTGACCTAAACCTGCTTTTAGAATATGGTCATGTTGGTCGTGGTTCTGGTGCTGTCAGTGGGTCCTTTATTATCCAACTCAGAACAGTGTCACATTTATTTTTGTGCGTTTGTTTTGTGATGTTTTAGATCAGTTAATGCTGCTTGTATCTGGACACTAATATATATATTTCCTTCAAATAATTGTGTTGGTTTTTTGTGGATTTATTATAGACTATTAATTTAATTTAATTTAATTTAATTTAATTTAATTTGATTTGATTTCATTTAGTGGGGTTTTCCATCTCAGGCTTCATGCAGTGATTCATTTTTAAATTCCCCATTTCCAAAGTTAAAATCGATGATGAAATGTTTATAAAAGTGTCCATGAAAGCAAATGAAGAAAATAAAACTTCCCTCACATGATCCAACCTTCTACTTCCTCGTCACCCAGTCCTGCCTTGTGTGTTTGTTAGTTAGTTTTTCCTCCGGTGGTATCTACATGGTGGTATATAGATGTATCACTACACACTTCACAGACTCATATAAATACTGACGTATATATAATGGAGCCAGAGAAGCTGAATGCTTCACGTCTAGATTGTTCCTGTCACATCCTGTTGCGTTTTGTTTGATGAAAGAGTTTCTTTTCATCTTATTTTTGATGCATCGGATCAAACGCCGGCTCCATCAAAAGACTTTGTGTGAGACGGGGAAGGCTTCACAGTTTTGGGACAGAACCGGCTTTCATCTTAATGTGCAAAGTTTAGCTTGAATCACTTTCCTGCTTCCGTCCGTCGTCACATCACAGCAGCTCTGGTTGTTTTTTGGTAATGACGTGTGATTGTGGTTATTTCAGAGCTGCTGGCTTCTAAAGTCGGTAATGAGGCTGAAGTGACGATAACATGACAATAGATGAGGCTGATTCCAAGGAAGTAATGCAGTAATCACATTTATTTAAGTTCATGGTTTGTTTGTCTGTGTGGTTTAAACTCTGACGAGAGAACAAAAAGTTTTCCTGTGATCAGAGCAGGAAGGTATGAACACAACTGAATATATGAACTTTAGCTGTGACATTTTATCTGAATAATATATGAAATAAATGTCTCTGGTGCTTTCTCGTTATAGTTTGATTTGTCCTTTTTCTTCCTGGGATGTTGTCAGACGTGTCTTTGGTACCTGTTGCTCCACTAATGATGATCAGCTGATGATGCAGGTGGTGTTTGTTGGGCTAAATATGATGGTTGTGATAATTATGAGTACAGAGATGTGACAGACAATCACCTCCGACCTCCTTTACATCCATCCGTTATCTATACAGTCGTATAATCCTCACTGGGGTCACAGGGCCTCCTTCACATTATACGTAAAAAGTTCAGAACAACACACATGCTCATATTTGTCCTGTTTGCGGCCAACATTTCTATCACATACTATGTTTAAACAGCGTGACCCTGATCAGAACCCCGTGTTTTTATCTGTTAAAAGTTTTTTGCTGGAGTCGGTTTTGCCTTTAATCAACATTTTATTGTTTAACTGCTGTTATTTCATGTAGTTGTTGGTATATTAGCTGCATCTACTTGAGTTAAGTTCATCTGAGGTATGACTGACTCCACCACATCAGTCCGTTCATCAAACTGACATCAATCATAGAGACTGCCAGGATACCTGAGGCACAGGAAGACGATCAAGGAAAAGTCAACGGCCAGAAAAAGCTACTGCATACAGCTTATAGTCCTCATTTTCATTCTTTTTAACAGACAGAACATGACATCCATAGTAGAGAAACTACACGGGGAAAATGCAGCGTATATGGAAAACTAGTGGCGTGACATCCGAGCTCCAGTGTGCAGGCGTGTGTTACTGTTGATAATTCAGCTGCGTGGCAGAGCCCAGCGTGAAGGCTGTGCCGTGTCAGACCTCCAGACCTGCTATTTGTATCCGTTTCCACTGCGAGCTGAATGGAAAGATCAGCAGTCATGTAACCTGCAGTGTGTGCCAGTTCTGCTGAGGTTAATTGGATCACCCTCAGTTCCCAACTGGATCCTAAGACGTGCTACAGATTCCTGGTACCTGGGTGTCGGATTAGACCTGTTTACTACCAAAGTGCCACTGCAACAAGCCGGTAGCCGTTCCAGGATGAAGGCTGGATTAGAACACCTGCAGGTGCACCAATAACGACGACTTTCCACGCTGCAGCCAGATGAGACATCAAATGAGATTCTGCTACCGGTTCTGGTAAAACAAGTGCAGATGATTCTCTGTCTTGTGAACATGATGCAGGTCCAGGAAAGAAGCACCGGCTGCCATGCGTAGCTCAAAAATCTAGAAAACGTTTCAGCTTTGGTTTGCCCGGAGTTGGCACCAACACTTTGGACAGATTTCTTTCCAGCAGCTCTTCGGGGAACATTCTTGTATGAACTACTGGGGAAAGTATGAAGCACTCGTGTGGTTGCAAAAATTCTGAAAGCCGCCCAGAAACCGTCTAGTAGCTGTTGTTTGACTCCACAACCTTTTATACCTTCTCATATTAGTGCAGCGGAGGTTTAACGCACACGGCAGCCGTATCCAATCAAAAAATCAAAAAATAGTCACTATGCAAACTGAATTATTGTTGGAGATGTTCCACTGCACCGTTATTCTCTGTTTCAGACCCTCTCCAGCTCTGCTCCACCTCAGTCTTCCTTTCAGACTTCCTTTTGCTGCTCTGTTGTCTCTGTCAAAGTTTAGACTCGACACCGTGGCCGTCGGAGCTTCAGCTGCTCTGAACTCACTGCTGCTAAACATCCACCAGCTGGACTCTATTACACGGTTCAAATCACAACTCAGAACACAAACAGCTACCTCCCTGCTATGACTCAACCGTTATCTGCCCACGTCACGGCCACGGTGGTTCTGTTGTTGTTGTTGTTGCCTCATTGTTGTCTTATGATGCCAACAGCAGCGTCTTCTGGTCTGGAGGCCACTATCCTCCATCCAGAAAGACATGAACGTATAGAAACATCTCTCTCATCATTTCAAGCTCAACACCAAGTTAAACTGAGCAGGTATATTTTGCATGTTTGTCCTTAGTAGTAACTTAAAGGCCCAAATAGGTTCACAATAGTCCAGATCAGATCGTTCTAAATATTCCAAACATGAGTTTAAATGAGGTGGAAGGTGGAATGAAACCTGACCTGCAGCAGTGATCAGCTTAAGTTTGCTCATCAATGTTTCTCAACAAATAGCAAAAAAGAAAAAGAAGTCTATTCAGGTGCTCTGCTGCACAGGTGGATCGAGTTGTCTCACATTCATTAAAAGAGGACAAGAATATATTAGAGATGCCAACAAAGGCCAGCGAGCAGGTTGATACAGCACATCATTCACCCGTCGTAGTCAGTGTAAGAAACTGTCTTTCTGACAGCTGACGAGGTGAGAAGAAAACGGTCAGATTTTATAAAATACCACTGACTTCCCAACAACAGCTGAACCAGAGCAGAGCTTCTATCAGTGGCAACCAAGACCTCAAACCAACTGCTGAGCGAGGGCTGCTGTGCCGGTCGATGATACCGGGAGCAAACTAGCCTGTAGTTAGATCTGGTGTCTCCTCGTTGTGCATGTTTCCTACAACCTGGAGCAAAGACAGCAGCAGTTACACGAACATGTGGAAACAACATCATTTGTTAGCTGAACGCCAAATGAAGCCAACGTGTCCTGAGTGCATTTAAATCTGACATCAGGGCCGAGATGGTGCAGCTGCTGTGGACATCCTTCCAAATATTCCAGTAGAAGGTGGAATTGAAGCAAAATATTGTTTTCCAGAAGTGTCCCTGTCTGCAGCAATCATCAGCTTAATAAATACTTCAATAAATACTCAATAGAAGTATTTTATTCCAGCTTGTTGCTTCACTGTTTTAATGAGACTAAATATTATCAACAGAGAACAAAACATTCTGCACATATTGATCCAGTTGTCTTTCATTGATTTAAAATAAGAAGAAATGCCACTGGAGGGGAAGAGGCAGCAGAGCAGTGAGCAGGTTTCTGCCCTCCATCAGCCTCCTGTTGGTCGCTGTGGGACCCTGACACGGTTACACGTCTGCTTTATAAATAGCAGCGATTTTTCAGAAATAACTGGACTGCTGGTGAAGTGATCGCACTTGTAGCTGCTATCAATGGCAACAGAGACCTAAAAACAACACCCCCAGTGATTGGATCATTGATCGGAGCTCTGATTGGCCGGCTCGGCTGCCAGTCAGCGGCTGCACTTGCTGGTTCGTTTAAACCCAGGATTTACGCATAGCGACTAATCTTCGTTTAGGTTCCAGCCATATAGGATTGTGTCGCAGCGAGGCGCAGAGAGACGGAGAAGGACGGAGAGCATCTGTTGGAATATAATTTCACCCCTCAGACATCCATCTTCCTCCAAATCTGCCAACAGACGGGCTGAATAGACGCGTAAATGGAGTTCCAATCGCTGTCGTGACTGTTGTTCACCGCCTCTCACTCTGCAGAAGATTCTGCGTTGTAAGTTGCAGCAGCATCCAAAAACCCACCGCAGCTCTTCTCCTCCTTTGCAGACATGGGGACCGTCCTCTCTATATCTCCCGCGTCGAAGAAGGCGTCGATCATGGACGCGGAGGTCGGAGGAGACGCGCTGAAAAACGACAAGAGCCTCAAGCGCCACTCCATGTTCGTGTCCCTCTCCTGGAAGAAGCTGGTGGCCAATTCGGCCAAGAAGAGCGCAAAGAAAGTCACCCCGAACCCGCTGCCCGCCCGCGAGCTGCCGTCCAGCCAGGTGGCGCAGCTCAACAGCGAAAACATCCGGAAGACGCACCAAACCGAGGAGAAGAAGCCCAAAGCGCCCATCCCGGTGCCGGTGCCCACGGTGCCCACGCAGACCATCGAGCCCGTCGTGCAGAACGGGAGGCTCTCCTCGGTGCAGAAGCAGCCCAGCAGCCTGTCGCTGGTGTCGCCCCGACGGATAGTCATCCAGGCGTCCACCGGGGAGCTGCTGCGCTGTTTGGGGGACTTCATGTGCCGCAGGTGTTTTAAACTGAAGGAGCTCAACAGCGGGGAGGTGATCCTGTGGTTCCGGAACATCGATCGGACTCTTTTGCTGCAGGGCTGGCAGGACCAGGGCTTCATCACGCCGGCCAACGTGGTGTTCGTGTACCTGCTGTGCGAAGACACGATAGCGGACAGCATCGACAGCCCGGCCGAGCTGCAGGGCACCTTTCAGACTTGCCTCTACCTCGCCTACTCCTACATGGGCAACGAGATCTCCTACCCGCTCAAGCCGTTCATGATCGAGGCGAACAAGGACGTTTTCTGGGAGACGTCGCTCCGGATCATCAACAGGATGAGTGCCAAAATGCTCCAGCTCAACGCGGACCCGCACTTTTTCACCGAGGTCTTCCAGGACCTGAAAAACCAGCGCGAAACCAACGAGTCCAACCTGGACCGCTGACATGGAGACGCGTGGAGAGAGACGCTGGTGTAGTTTTAAAGATGAATGTAAAAGATTGCGCGCAAAAATACACATAAGGGGGTGGGTTTTTTGAGTGGAAAAAAAACCCCTTGAAGGCTTCTGAGGGGGGGAAGGCCTGGATGTGACTGTCATGATGATGTTACACAACTTCAGTGTGGTGTTTAGGCTACAGCGTAGGAGATTTCATACTTGCATGCCGATGCTATATAGTCCTCTTTTGTCTTGTTCCCCTGAGTGACGCAGGGATTGACTCCGTGGTACAAATCACATTGTAAGTGGCGCTCAAGCCCCCATTTCATTCATGATTAGCCTACATTGTGAGTCAGTGAATGGCTGTCGCAGTGAGGTGAGCTTCAGGGAGGAACACAAATAGATCCGTGAGCCTGAGCGTGGAGGCGGAGCTGTCCGAGGTGCTGACCTGTGCAGCCATTCCTCCTCCACTCCCCGCTGTTTGAGTCACTTTCACGCACCACAGAGCCAAGCGAGGCTTAAGAGGACCAGAATCAGCTCATAAGCCTAAGCCTTGTTAAGGTACAGGTAGTGTATTCTAGTTTTTGTTGTTTTTTTTAAACCATCTCAGTCAGCTGATAGTTAATCTGTTGAACATGCAACAGATAGCAGAGGCTTCTTTATTTAAGGAGGCGACACACAATGCTTGGTGCATCTGTTCCTCTGTGGGCAAAAAGAAACCCATGTGCAAACCCTGACCATGCTGTATGTATGCCTATTTTAATATCTATTTGGTATGTTGCTGTTTTCAGCTCCTCTTGTGTGATTAAAGAAAAAAAACACCAAATCTCATCATTTAGTTTGTGCATTACCAGCTGTAGGGACGTACCTGTAGGCAGGCCGTTGGTTCAGGTTCAACAGGAGGGTGAGGAAATGTAAAATTAGCAAAGGGAGCATCTTTCCCTCCCCTGCAGTGTGTTAAATTGCACTAAATGGGGCCCATAGGCGGCCACGCAGCCAGATCATCACCCCCAGGCCTCTGTTATGCTTTGCTGTCCAATACCAGTCGCCCACCGGATGTATTGCTCTGCAACTCACTGCAGAGGTCCATAGAGACTGAATGTACAGTTTTACAGAGATTTCAAGACTTTTTTTTTTTTTTTTTAAATCTTATATGTGCCAACTATAACATGGCCTGAAGCGATATGGTTTACATGTACATATCCCACATTTCCAATTTGCTCTTGGTTTTACTTTCCTCTGCCTGTTTTTGAAGGCTGGCTGCACACGATGTAGTTCGAGCGTTATGGAAACAAAATAGAGCTTAACGGTCAAATGATTTCTTCTTTCTTTTTTTTTGCTCTGTTCTGTAAAATGTGCTGTTTGCCTCGGTTCGCTGGCTTCGGTTCACTTTCAGTTCAGTCGATTCAGGATTCTTCAGAATATAATATTTAATGTACAGATCTCATGTTAAGTGACAGAAGACTATCGTTTTTGCACATGCGTCGTCGCAGTTTCTATAAGCTACAAGTGATTTGACTCCAACTCTGAAACCAAACGTTCAGGGCCAACCTGACTTTTATTGAATGCTACGTGGTCCTTCTGAGTGATCGTTGTGATGTTGTGTTTGTGAATCCATTGCTTGGAAAGTGAATTATAATGCTGCTATTTTGCACAGCTGTGAACAAACCCGTGATGTTTTTTGCACAGTGGTATACGATGATGGTGATGTACCAGTGTTTCCTTTCAGGTGCTGGAGTGTTTGCCATTAGGTCCGCCGTTACTGACACCACCGGTTCTCGCTCTAGGATGTTCATCTGTGAATTAAATCTTTTTGTACAGCTCATTTCTTTTTGTTTTTCCTATATGTCATCTATGGAAAGTGATATTTAGGTGTGTGCTGTTTTCTGTGGTGTTTGCGCCACAGCTGCATCCACTCTCTCTACATGTTAATTAAAGGTCAGTACAGTAATTGTTTATGGTGACCATAATGAAATAAACCCAGACTTATCTAGGATCTCTCGTCGTTTGGTTCATTTAATGTCTTGTGTTGATGTGTGGACTCTGTGTGCCAGCGTGCTTATATCCATGTTAATACAGACCTTGCAGTTTGTTGAAGCGTTAATTAACTCGGACAGCCTCTTATCCACACACACACACCACCCGCTAATCCTTGATTTGCAGGGAACCCTTGAGACATGATTATGCAATAGAAATAAGCCCATGACGAATATGCTTACCGGGATGTGTCGGCGATGCTGCTGCAGGTTGCCATGAGACTGGGAGTCAATGGGTTTCACTGGTTGCCATGAAGCTAGAGCTCAGTGAGACTGAAGATATATTCAGTTGAAGTTCTGAGGAGATGGTTGTAGATATATCTGTACCAGGAGCTGCATCACATCCTAGAATATGCTGCAGGTGAAAGCTCGTTATGCAGCGAGGCCAGCAAAGCACGCTGACACACATAAGGGGTATTTTTGGTTCCTGTCTGTGTGTCCTGGGTATTCCAATCGGGGCCACGTTCTGAAATTGGAGCACATGCGACTAAAACAGAAAGTCAGTTGTGAAAACCTGCACAGTTTAGGAATCTGCGTCTGCTCGACTGGTCTGTACATGTTTAAAAGGGTTTTCAGAGCTCTGCAAAAAATAAATACATGTTTTATATCCACATGAAGAAATACAACAAAATGTGAGATTCTGACTCTTCAGATGCTCCCATCGCTCCAGATCAAGGGTGCGTTGACGGTTCAGTGTATGACAGAATGGAGCTGAATCGATACGGATTTCCTCCTGGATTTATGAATAAGCCACGTGGGCTGCAGGGTTCCTTCATGTGATTGGTCAGAATCTGCTGCAGTCTCAGAACTGTCTGTGACTCGGCTGCTCTCTCCCTCGCTCTGCTCTTCCAGGGACGTACAGGCTCTATTTACAGAACAGGAATTTTTGAAAGGCAGACAGAAAATAAGAGAAAAGGCATCAGGACAGAAACACAGCAGGAGTGAAAGAGTTTGGAGGGAAGGTGGTGGTAGAGGGAGTGGAAATAGATTTAAATAGGATGAGGGAGAGGAGGACAAACGGATGAAGACAGACAGGTTTCCATTTCATTCAGCTGCTGCTGATAATCGAACCTTCGTTTCATTTGAATTTAAAACACTTCAGAAGTGAAAGATTTACGATGCTCACAACTAAACTATAACGTCTATCTGGACTGAAAAATCTCACTTTTTTCAAATAACAGACATAAAAATAATGTGTGTCTGGTGTGAACAGTATCAGCAGCTCACAGCCAAACATCCACACAGGTTAAGCTTCGTTTTCTTGCATATTCTGATCTATTAGGTCCAGCGATTGAAGGTAAACAAGACGCCACATTGAGCCAAATAGCTCTCTTGTCACAGATTAGTTCTTTTTCTCTCTGCCGACTGTGAACAGGTTGACTCAGTGGCAGAATCCTGCAGCAGCATTATGTAACCGTCTCCCAGCAGCACCGTGTTGTGAGCCTTCTCTTTGTTATTAAGATTCAACCCAAGTCTCCTGCATATCTGTCTGCCAGCCAGCTTTCTGCATTCTCCTCCGCTGTGTCTCTATAGTAACGGCTAGGTAAGTGAATGAGAGCCGGCCAGAGTGAGCTGTGAGGGGCTGAGCGTGGGCTGAGCGCTGCTACACGGCCAAGTGATCGATGAAAGACATGCAGAGTGTGTTTGGAGTGTTAGTGGATGTCTGCTGGTGCAGGCATGTCTCTTCCACATCCAGCCGCTCTGCGTCGGAGCTGCTCAGGCTTCAGCTGGTCTCTGTGGATCTGAAGCTGTCAGTTTATCGCACGATGATGTCCAACAAAGCCGGGTCAAGCGTCATCTCTGAAGCTAACATTGCAAGTGAAATGCAAAACAGTTACTCAGCTGCTGCACCTAAATACCTTTTTCTGGTAAATGCATTTACTCTTTCACATGTTAGGACACCTGATGCTTCTACTTTACAACTCAGAGGGACATTTTAACCCCACTCACTGATTTCTTTAGTGTCTAGTTACCTTTCTGATGAAGATTTAGAATAAAACATACCATCATTTGCTAAGGATATGAAATAAAACAAACATCTATTGGTTGTACCTGTGATCCTGGACATAACGTCACATAAAAGCACCTGAGTGTGTTGACAACATTCAAAAAGTTTCCCTCAGCAAACTAAAAGCACCAAAGAAAAGACAGTAGTAAATACAAAGCTGTGCAGCAGAACTGTGGGGAGACTACGGTTGTGTTTTTAATTCAAAAGAGAATCCAAATGCAGGACACGGCAGGCAGACAGGCAGGAAAGGAGCAAGCTTTCATGTAAAGTTGGTAGTGATTTACAGAGGGCCGGGCAAACACAAAACTCAAGAGGCAGGTTCGCCTAAAGCCAAGAAAGTAAGAGATCCAAGAAGCCTGCAGGAGAAGAAGCACTGACAGTGAACACAAAGGAGGAACACAGGTAGGGAACAGAGACGAGCTGACAGCTGACGAGGGGAAGGCTGGATTATAAATACGCAGGGAGGCAAGAGTACGGAGACATTCACAGAAGTGTGAAAACACAGGAACAACCAAAGACATGCGAGGAAAGGGATTACCAAAGTAAAAACAGAAAGTGACAACAAAAAAAAAAGGTATGAGACTGGCTCCCACACAGACGAACAAAGAGACACAGACAGTGATGCATGAAGCACCGAGAAACAAGGAGGAAATAATAGAAACCAGAGACCAGGACGGCCAGCTGGAGCCACGAGAGGGAACCGGCTGTTTGTTGAGTACATAAACTAGGTTTAGAACTGATGTTGAATATCTGATAGTGATAAAAACAAACGCACTTCTTTTGAGCAGAACTCTGATTGCAAACAACCGAAGTAAATAACCTCCTGTGATCCATCCATCCATCATCTCTACACCTTCATCCTCACCAGGGTCATGGGGGCTGGAGTCTATCCCAGCTGACTCAGGGTGAAGGCAGGTTCACCTGGACAGGTAACCAGTCTATCACAGGGCTACACTTAGAGACAG